GTTCCCGCGCGGCGCGGGCTCTTCGCCCGCGAGATGTGCGGGGGCCCGCGCCACTGGGCGACCTGTCGCCCTGGCGCCGGCTCCGTGCGCACTGCGCTCGGAAGCGGCGCTCCCGCGCGGGCGCGGCGCGCGGCTCGCTCGCCAGCGTGCACGCGAGCGGCAGCGGCAGCGGGGCGGTGTTAAGTCGGGCCTGCCCCTCCACAGGAGGAATGTTCCAAAATAGTCAAGACATGGTCTGGAACGATGTTGTTCTTCCTCTCACGTTTTGACAATGTTTGGGGGTATGTTTGTTGGCTATCTGTAATTTCTCCCTCCCCAGATCCGCCTGTAGGGGGACACGCCCGACCTAAACATACAGTTGACCCGCATGGTAAGGATGGTCCCTGAAGAAAGAAAGCCACAAACATAAACTTTTGGCGCTCCGCGCGGATTTCTGCCTGGGCCCCCCTGGCGGCCTCTCCGGCGCCGCCGCTGGGGTCCAGCGCAGATCCAAGAAATCCGCGCTGACCTCCAAAAGTTCATGTTTATGTGGTTTCTTGTTCCTCTCGATGGGCAACCGTCCCAAGGGTACCCTTGCATCCTTGCCTCCTCGGTCTAGCCTCGGCCACTTTCGCTGGCCGCGCCCCGCTCTCGACAGTGTCGAAACGGCCGTCCAAGGCCCTTGCATCCTTATCGCGAATCTCTATGGGTCGACTGTAATGTGTTACAAATCTTACACCACAAGCCATGCACCACACAGCTTGCAGCGCATACCTCACACCACACAGCTGACACCACGTAACTTACACCGCACAGCTTGCACTCCTCAGCTTTAACGACGTAGCTCCCACTGCAGCTATTGTACAACATAGCTCGCACCATATACCTCATGCCACATAGCTCACACAACGTAGTTTGCACCACGTAGCTTGCTTAACAGAACTTGCACCACCTAACTCACACTGCAAAGCTTACACCTCACAGCTTGCACCGCAGAGCTTGCATAACATAGCTCTTACCTTCACAATGCAAGAAAGCATGGTTTGGGGTCCACGCTGGCTCACAAATGTGTGAATGAGGATTTCCGGAGTGGTCCATCTCTTTCTCTCTCTTTCTCTCTTCTCCTCTCTGCTTTTGTCTCTCTCTTTGATATGTGCACACCAATGGCACGTATGTGTGTGTACGTGCGTCAACATGCACATATGCACAACTATTTGCATAGAAGTACAGGGCGGCGGCCTGGTACGTATGTTTTATGTGTGTTGAGGCGTCTTGTCATCCTAATTTACGGGCGCAGCCCGTTATTTTCTTTTCGGGAATGGCAGAATTGACAGAACAATTGAATCACCAAAGCCGTTAGATGGCAGTTTTATTTCTGGGGGTGAGGATTTTTCGCTGGCAGTTTTAAGTCAGGGGGTTGGGGATATTCCGCTGGCAGAGTTTGGCCAGGGGGGAGGATGCTTCGCAAGTATGTCAGGGAGTTGAGAATATTCGCTGGCAGTTTTAGGCAAGGGGGCGAGGATATTTCGTTGGCAGTTTTATGACAGGGGTGTGAGGATATTTCACTGGCAGTTTTAGGCCAGGGGGTTGGGGATATTTCGCTGGCAGTGTTAGGCCAGGGGGTGAGGATAGTTCGCAAGCAGTTTTTAGCGAGGGGGGTGGGGATATGTCGTTGGCAGTTTTAGGCCAGTGGGCGAGGATATTTCGCTGGTAGTTTCAAGCGAGGGGTGTGAGGGTAGTTCGCTGGAAGTTTTAGGCCAGGGGGTTGAGAGTATTTCGCTGGCAGTTTTAGGCCAGGGCTTGAGGATAGTTCGCTGGCAGTGTTGGGGCAGGGGGTTGGGGATATTTCGCTGGAAGTTTTAGGCTAGCGGGTGAGGACATTTCGCTGGCAGCTTCAAGTCAGAAATTTGATAATATGTCGCTGGCAGTTTGAGGCCGGGGGTTGAGGATATTTCGCTGGCAGTTTTAAGTCAGAGGGTTGAGGATATTTCGCTGGCAGTTTTAGGCCAGGGGTTGAGGATATTTCGCTGGCAGTTTGAGGCCGGGGGGAGGGGATATTTCGCTGGAAGTTGTAGGCCAGGGGGGGATGATATTTCGTTGGCTGTTTTCAGCGAGTGGTGTGCGGATATTTCGCTGGCAGTTATAAGCCAGGGGTTGAGGATATGTCGCTGGCAGTTTCAAGTCAGAGGGTTGAGGATATTTCGCTGGCAGTTCTGGACCGGGGGGGTGGGTATATTTCGCTGGCAGTTTGAAGCGAGGGGTGTGAGGATATTTCGCTGGCAGTTGTAGGCCAGGGGATTGAGGATATTTCGCTGGCAGTTTTAGGCCAGGGGGTTGAGGATAGTTCCCTGGCAGTTTTAGGCCAGGGGTTGAGGATATTTCGCTGGCAGTTTTGGGCTAGGGGGTGAGGATATTTCGCTGACAGTTTTAAGCGAAGGGTGTTCGGACATTGGCTGGTTAGGCCAGAGGTTGAGGATATTATTTCGCTGGCAGTTGGAAGCGAGGGGGTTCAGGATATTTCGCTGGCAGGTTGAAGTCAGGGGGTTGAGAATATGTCGCTGGTAGTTGTTTTGGCCAGGAGGTGAGGATGGTTCGCTGACAGTTGTAAGTCCAGGGGTGAGGATATTCCGCTGACAGTTTTAAGCCAGGGGCGTGAGGATATTTCGCTGGCAGCTTGAGACCAGGTGCGTGAGGGCATTTCGCTGGTAGTTTTAAGCGAGGGGTGCGAGGTTATGGCGCTGGAAGTTTTTAGCCAGGGCGGTGAGGATATTTCCCAGACGCAGCCGAACAGCACCATGTGCCACGCACGGACGGTCAGCCGAAGGCTACGCCCGTATATATGCTCGCCCCTTGGCGTGGGGCTGGCGAAGGGCCAAGGGGCGAGCTGTCCAGTGTGTGCTTCCCCTTTCCCCGTGCATCGTAATTCTGGTTGCTGGAGTCGTCCTGCCCCGCTTCCAATCTGTCGAACGCGTCTCGGAGGCTCCCCTTCTCCTCGAACTTGGAGGTTGGAGCTTGGAGAGTCGAGGAGTTTTGAAGTCAAATCCGAGCTCGGACCTCCTCGAACCTCCAGGTTCGAATCCACATTTGAGTTCGGTTTTCCTCGGACCTCCAGGTTGGAGGAGGGAACCAGTACGCCGAGCAAGCCGTCGGCGTGAAAGAGGCGATGGAAGAGGGGTAAGCATCAGAGGAGGAGGAGGAGGAGGACGAGGAGGAGGAGGACGAGAGGAGAGGAGGGAGGAGGAGGAGGAGGAGGGAGGAAGGAGGAGGAGGGAGGAGGAGGAGGAGGAGGAGGAGGAGGAGGAGGGAGCGGAAGGCCGATGAGAAGGAGAACCAGGGGAGGGGACAGGCGGAGGAGGAGGAGGAGCTGGAGCGGGAGGAGGAGCAGGAGCGGGCAGGCGACCCGGAGCACGAACGGGAGCACGCGCGCAGGAAGGAGGAGGTCCGCGCAGCCCCTCTTGGGGGCTCCGAGTGCGGCTCGAGGCTGGGAGGCCAGGCCCAGGCCTCCGACGCCGCGCCGCGGTGCTTCGTCGTCCCAGGCGCCCCCCTCCTCCTCCTCCTCCCTCCTCCTCCTCCTCCTCCTCCCTCCTCCTCCTCCTCCTCCTCCTCCTCCTCCTCCTCCTCCTCCTGCTCCTTCTCCTCCTCCTCCTCATCCTCCTCCTCCTCCTCCTCCTCCTCCTCCTCATCCTCCTCCTCCTAGCGACTGCCCGCCGCACCGCCCCGGCCGAGCCAGAAGACCCCAGGCGGCCCTCCATTCCCGCAGAGGGGGGGGGGGCATCCTGGAGCGGCGGAGGCGGAGCGCAGATGGCCAGACGCCAAACCACCCCGACCCAGCCCCAAAGACCCCAAGTTGCCCTCCATTCTCACAGGGGGGGGGGGGGGAGAAAGGCATCCTGGAGCCCTGGAGAGAGGAAAAACAACGCAGATGGAACCCGTACTGGTACGCCCACCCTGCCGGAAGATTGCGACTTCGGGTTGGGCTGGGGCGGTGCAGTGGGCAGGCAGAGGTCCCGACATTTTTGGCAGGTGGGATCTCTCAAGCTCTCCGCCGCCTCGGCCAGTGCGCGTTGCGAGCAGGAACACAGTAAAGCCACAGGAAAGCGCGGCGTTGGCAGTGTAGCCCCGCACATGTGACACATGTCAACGAGCAGGAGCACAGCAAAACCTGGGGAGAGCGAGGCAATGAGAGTGTAGCTCAACATAGACACGGTGGTGGCCGGGGCCACTTCGTCGCCCTGGGCATCGCGAGCTCGTGTTCCGCCCCCGAGCTCCTGGAGCCCCAGAGCGCCAATAGGCGCCGGGATCTCGCACAGCAAGGGCCTCGGAGGTTTGGGCACGGGCGATTCAGAGAGGGGCCCCCGAGGGATGGGACCCTAACGAATAGCAAGGATCCCCAGGTTCATCTCACACCGTTGTGGGCCCCTATAGGGCCCCGACGTCATGATGCTTTCACGCCGTCGGCCCCCAGAGGTCTCGACCCATTCCCTGGGGCCGCTTTGTCATCCTGGGTCGTTTTTCACGGCCCCGAGGGCCGGTGAGGGCCCCACAGGCCGAGACTGGCGAAAGAAGACCTCCCGTCGTGATTGTCTCATGACTCGAGGGGGTCTGGGTGCCTATAGGGCCCCATCCCTCGTGGCCCCAGCTGCGAGCCGCCGAGGGCAGGGCCGCCCCCCATGGGCAGGCCCCGCCCGCCGCCGCCCGCGAGGGAACCGCGGCGCCATGGGCACAGAGGCCCAGCGCCTCGCCCCAGCGCGCGCGCCCCGCCGCGCCGGCCGCGCCCTGCTCGGCGGCAGCGGCGCGGCGGCGGCCGCGCGGAGCGCGGCGGCGCTGCACCTCGCCGCCCGCCGCGCGGGCAGCACCGAGGGCGCCGCCGTGGCGAGGCCGCGCGGCGGCTGCGCAGGGCGCGGCGGCGGCGAGGGCGCCGCGGCGGCCACGCGGGCGGTGACTGCGCTGCACCAGGCCGCGCGCCGCGCGGCGGGTGCCGGGGCGCAGGTGCTGGCGCGGCGGCTGGCCCAGGTGCACGTGCGCGAGCTCTCCCCCCGCCAGCTGTCCCTCGCGGCCTGGTCGCTGGCGCGGCTGCGGGAGGCGAGCTGGGCCCGGCCCGGCGGGGAGCGGCGTCCATGGGACGAGATCTTAGATGGAGGGCCCGAAAGCAGTGCACAACGGTTTCGGACTTCCGCGGGCGGCTTCTCCGCCGGCGCAAACAACCTTCCCTTGGCACGCGAAGCACGCTGGGGGGGTGGCGGCGACGGAGGCGCCGCCTGGGGTTGGCGTGGAGGGAGTCCAGCGCCATCGGAGCAGCCGCCCGCGGACGTCCGAAGGCCGTGAACATGCGGGTGTCGGGCTCTTCCTTAGAGGCGACCAACGCACAGAAAATGCACTTGGACCCGCAGGCCATCTCCATGGTCCTCTGGGCCTGCGCAACGCAGCGCGCTGCCGCCGGCACGCTGCCGCGGCACCTGGCGGATCAGGCCGCGGCGCAGCTGCCCCGCCTCTCCCCGCAAGGGGTAGCGAACGTCCTGTGGGCATGTGCGCACCTCAGGCTTCAGCGGCCGCCCCTCGCCGCCGCACTCGCCGCGCACCGCACCGGCCTCGTCGCTGGCCTCGGCCTGGCTGGCGTGCCACCGCAGGCGGCCGCGAATGCGCTGTGGGCGCTTGCGAGGCTGCCCGCTGCCGACGCTGGCGTCCGCGGGCTCTTCGACGAGGTTGCAGAGGCCGCCCTGCGTCGAGCGCCAGAGTGGCGGCCGCAGGAGGCCGCCGCGGTCGCGTGGTCCGTCGCCGTGGCGCGGGCGCGAGGCACGGCGGCGCGAGGCGTGCTGCTGCAAGCCGCGGGGCAGGCCGCCGAGCTCGCCAACTGCGGCGGGGCTGCTGCCAGAGACGAGGCGTCCTGCCGCCTGCTCGCAGGCGCGGCCTGGTCACTGGCAGCGGCTGGGCTGCGGCAAGCACCCCTTTGGGACAGCCTAGCTGCAGCGGCGGTGCGTCTTGCACCCGCGCTCAGCTCCCAGGAGCTGGCAAACACCTCGTGGGCGTTCGTCACAGCATCCGCCGCCGACGCGCCAGGCTTGCTGCCGGCGCTCGCATCGGCCGCGCCAGCGCACCTGCCAGAGCTCGCCGGAGCCGAGCTGTCCGCCGTGTCGTGGGCGCTGGCCCCCAGCCGCCACAGGGATCCGCCCTGGCTTGGTGCGCTCGGCACCGTGATCGCCAAAGACGCCGGCCAGCTCGAGCTGCACAGGCTTGCGTCCTTGGCGTGGTCCTGGGCGACGACGGAAGGCGATCCCGAGCTGCTCTCCACCCACGTGCTGCCTGCCGCGCAGGCGCACGTTCGGCGGCTCAGTGGGCCAGGTTGCGCGCCAGCTGGGGCGGCCGCGGAGGAGGCGGTGCTGCAGCTGGCGTGGTCCTTCTCCCCGCTGGGCGTCAGCGACGAGCACTTCCTGGCAGACGCAGAGGCGCTGCTCAGGAAGGCCGGGCGCGAGCGCGATCGCCGCGCCAGGAGTGCAGCCGAGGAGGCGGCCAGGGCAGCAGGGGCGCGGCCCGCGTGCGCCCCGGCGGATGACGCCCCCGCGGTGGTCCACGTGTGGCAGGACGTCGCCTTCGTGCACAAGCCGCCCGGCTGGGAGGTGGACGGCGGGGCAGACGCCGGCACCGCGCTCACGGCCCCGCGCCGCGGCGTGCGCAGGCCGTCGAGGGAGAAACCGTGTCATAAGCACAAGCCTTCGGAGGCTTCTGTTTGTGCGGCCGTTTCTGCGTCGAGGCTGTCCGCCTTCCTGCGGGACGCCTTCCCCGGCGTGCCCATCTGGGGAAGCAAACCACGACAGAAACATAGAAAACTCGGAGGTCCGCGCGGATTGCTCGGATCGGCGCTGGACGCCCCTCCCTGGCGCGCGGAGCGCGCCAGGGGCGGCGCCACAGGCGCCGCCAGGGGGGGCCCAGCGCCGATCCAAGAAATCCGCGCCGACCTCCGAGTTTCTGTGTTTATGTTCATGTTGCTCCCATCGTACTTAGGGACCACATCCCAGAAATAATTTCGAGCGCCCAGGAAAATATAGGAAGGTGTCGAACGAGTATCGCCTCCCAGGGCCCGACACGTGAAGACCCTCCAGTTTGGGGTAGGTTCCTTTGGGTGCTCGAAAGGTCTTCTCGCGATCGAGGCTGAAGTCAGCTTAGCTGCTCTGATACGCACGTTTTGAAACGTAACACGTGCCGTGTTCAAAGCGTCCGTGTTCAAAAAGTGCGTGTTCAGTCCACGTGCTGAGCTCCGTAGCCATACGCTACGTGTTGCGCGTTGCGTAGCGGGGCAGCTAAGATCAGAAGTTTATGCCATTGTTTGCTTCCCTGCCATCGTCCGCGACGCGGCCGCGGGCTTCGGCCTCATGGGGCGGCTCGACGTGCCGTCGTCCGGGCTGGTGCTGTGCGCGCTCTCGCACGAGGCCCAGCGCGTGCTGCGCCTCTGGCAGGACGCGCGCGCCGTCGAGCGGGAGTACGTCGCGCTCTGCCACGGGCACCTCCAGCAGGTCGGTGGAGGAGGAGGAGGAGGAGGAGGAGGAGGAGGAGGAGAAAAAGGAGGAGAAAAAGGAGGAGGAGGGCGGAGGAGGAGGAGGAGGAGGAGGAGGAGGAGGAGGAGGAGGAGGAGTGCGGAGGAGGAGGAGGAGGAGGAGGAGGAGGAGGAAGGTAAGATAAGACGAGGGCGGACGGCGTCCAAGAAACCGACCGCGAGGATAAAACGGAAACAAATTAAACCGACTCCTCATCCTCCCCCGCACGCCGACGGGCGGCCTCCAGCTCCCAGAACGGGAGCGAGTCCACCGTGAGGCCGAAGCGGGCAAGGAGAGGCCCTCGCCCCATGGGAACCTGCCAAGGCGGTCCCCTGGGGAAAACGGCTCTGGAGGCTGGCGCCGACACACGCGCCTGGGGACGGTCGAGAATAGCCCTAGCCAAGTCCAGGAGATCTCCAGGGACGGGCCTCTCGAGACAGCTCACCCTCCAGCCTTTGTACTTGCTTAGCCACCTGGGGAAGAGACCCGCGAGCAACCGTGATCGCTGCTGCTTGAGCCCCTTCCCCGCATTGTGACCGTGACACTCGCGGACAGCGAGCTCCCTGACCCCGCCCCACGCATACGCCCCACACGAAATACAGCACACAATACGTGGGGCGGAGACAACTGAAGCTCCCGTCTGATCAAAAACATGGCACACACGCAGGTTATGCTGAGACAACCTCATCAAAATAGTAAGCTCAGGGTCACTCGGCCCCGCCTGGGCAGTGGCGGAAAGCACGGCCCTGAACCGCACAGACACGGGGGGAATGGGGCGCTCAGGGGGGCGGCCCTGGCGAGGGCCCGAACCAGGCACCAGGCGCTTATCAGGCAGGCCCTCCGAGTCCACCCATCCCCTCCCCCGCATCAGAAGCCCCTGCCGCCCAACCCACTGGCCCAACTCCCGCCCCAAGAGTCTTAAACCAGCGATTTCACGAGCGGCCTGCTCGACCGAAGGATGCTGACCTGCCCCTCGCTTCGCGAGGGCGTCGGCTATGGCGTTAGCCTTACGCTCCCAGTGAGTGGTGACACCTCGCTCCACATCGCCCTCCGTGCAATGGGCCTTCGTCTTATGGACAGCCAGCCCACCCTCGAAGGCCGCATGCACAGAGGTCCACATGTGAGCCTGGCCACAACGGGCACTCGTGGAGCGAACTCTCGACCGAGCACAGGAAATCGTAGCAGCACAATCAGTCCAAACACCCTCGGGGTCCAAAGCGATCTGGCCGAGCATCTGATACGCATAATCCTCGCCATCCTTGGCGAGCTGGAGAGGAGCGACATCCCACGGGACGGGGCCGAAAGCTCCAGAGATCATGGCACCAGTGTCATCGACCGAGATCACCGCCCACCCTGCTCTTCTCAAGAGCGGGTCCGAGGGGAAAATGGCCGAGCCGTCGGTAAAAAGTTTGCCAGACAACAGGCCATCCTCGGGCCTTCGAATCCAGAAGACCTGGCACCTTTCGGACCCAAGAGGCGGGGGAACCAGCTCCCTGGGAGACGGGAAAATGCCCGAAGCAAAAAACTCCCCAGCGTCACCCCGCTGCCGAATTAGCTTGGCTGCAGCTAACGCTTCATCCGACAAGAAGAGGGAGCGATCAGCAGCCCAAGCCTCGCAGACAAACCTACGGTGGAACGTGGTCCCTGGGGCCCCCATGCACAGCCTGCAAAGGTTGCTCGACGCCAAGCCGTGCCGCTGCAGGCGGTCCTGGGTCCAGTGGGTCCCCGAGACCGCGGCCCTGAGAGAATTCTTATGGGTCCTGTCCCAGGCATCGTTTCTCCTGGCGAACAAAAAGTCCAGCGGCTGCCAAAACACCGGCCGACACCACGACGACGAACCCTCACGAGCCTCAAGGGCACGAAAATCCGACATCTCTCTGGCAGCCTGCTGGGCAAGAGTGGCCACAATCGACGGCGAGAGCCTGAGCAGATCTATCTGCTCGCCCGTCGAAAGAACTATGAGGCGCGCCGATCTCGCTTCCCATCCCAGATCCCCACAAGCAATCACAAACACGTGAGCAGGGGACGTCGCCCTCGACCACGGGCGACTGGTGGTGGCAAGCGATCGAACGGCGTCCTCAAAAACCGCCTGCAGGATCATTATGCTGGGGAGTCCGTCCCAGACAGCCCGAGCCCACTCGAACACAACCTGCTTGAAATACAACGGAACGTGATCCATGGTCCTACCCTGCTTAAACGTGCGGAGTTTTAAACCCACAGACGCCCCCTGCTTCGCAGGAGCCAGAGACAAGAGGGCCTGAGTGCGGATCCTTTTTAACTGCGACCAAGGGAGCCCTCTCACCGAGGCCCCCCACAAGGCCGAGGCCTGAGGGCCCGCTCTCTGGATGTGCCCCACATAGGCCCCAGCGCGCCTCAGAGAGCGGAGGCGCGACGACCTACGCATGCAAGTCTTGACCCTGCTGGAGGCTATGGGGGCCAACCTAGAAGAGCTCACTTGCCAATCGGTCCCCAGACTCCTAATCACAGCCTTCTTCTTGAAAGACGCCTTCCACGCACTGGCCAGTCCCTCAGCAACCCCTTTCGATGAAGCAAGAACCTGTGATTTTTTCTCCGACAGCACAAGACGCAGCCTGCGCAAGCCATCGATCAGCTTGCTCCCGACGCCGCCCAGCTCCCTGACGACGTGGAGGCTCGTGCCGACGGACTGCGCGCTGATGTCATCAATCACATTCCTCACCATCGACGTCGGGTGCTCGCTCTCGACCTTGGTGAGCAGGCGAAACAGCAGGACTCTCGCCAGGCACGTCGCGAGCGAGCAGCCCGCCAGCACCGTGCCTGAGGCGTGGAAGACCACGGAGACGCAGCCGTTGAAGGACACCGCACGCGGCCCCGAGTAGAGCGAGCATGCCGCTCTACAGAGCCTGGTCGAGAACTTCACAGCCTCCGCCTCTGCGAACAAAACTGCGTGACATATACGCTCGTAAAACTTATCTAAGTCCGTGGCCAAGGTGGCTGACTGCATGCCCCTGCTGCGCGCAAAGTGCGCCATTGTCTGGTGCACCCAGCCCGCTCTGTCGCATTCTCGATCTCGCACGCCCCAGAAGAAACCAGCAGCGTGTTGGTCCTCCCAGAGCTTGGCCTCCTCTCGCCGCACCTTGCCCCAGACCCTCAGGATGGAGCAGATGAGGGCGATCGGCCTTGCTCCCGAGCCGTCAGGTTTGCCCAAGAAGACCATCAGAGTCGGCCATATGTCCGAGAGCTGCGGGTCGGCCTCCCACAGCACCCTGAGGTCCACTAGCCTCTCCATGAAGTCGTCGTCGAGCAGGGCGAAGGAGCGCGGGTTCACGCAGTCCACCCCACAGCCCACCTGGTGGGGGAAGGAGAGGCACACCGCACGAACTCGCTCAGCCGACGGCCTGGGCAACTCATCTCTCTGCGCGACTGCTGCCTGGATATGTGATATGCTCTCCTTGGCGTCTCCCCAGTACTGCAACCAAGCCATGTGCATTGCCTGCACGGCCGCATCCCCTTGCAGCGCCCAGCCCTCAGGAGCCACTGGCCCTTTCACCTGTGGCAAGTCCTTCAGGTACCTGTGAGCACGACGGCCTCCAGCTTTCACCGCGGACTGGGCCCACTCTCCACTCCTGCAGCTGCACCTTTGCCGCCGCCTGGGACGCCTCTAGAGCCGCTTGGTGGACGTTGGTCGCCAAGGTGGCCAGGTCCTCCCCGCCCGCTTCCGCAACGCTGCGCAGCGAGTGCAGGTCGAACTCCACGATCTTGACCCCCGTCAGCGTCGACAGGTCGAGGTGCTCAAGCTCCTCCAGCAGGCGAAGACGGGTATCGCCTCGGACACGCCCCTTGCGACCATGCTGCCTTCCGACCTGGCCCCTGAGACGCCCCCCTGGTTTAATGCCTTGGCCACCTTCACGGCCCAGGGGGTCTGCAGCAGCCAGGTCTGTCGACGATTGGACCTCAGCTCCAGCCGAACAGACCTCGCACCCAGGCATGGGCCTCCCCGACTTGCAGGCCGCAGCAGCAGCCAGCGGCGTCGGCCCCGAGTACGGCGACGTGTAGTCAGGCAGGACAAAGCCCATGGATCTCAGGGAAGGCGGCGGACCCTCGGTGCTGAGCCCTTCAACGCTGGGCGCCGCTGGCCGCTCCCCCGTGTGCGCCTCACGTCGATCGCAGGCACCACCTGAGCACGTGGAGGGCGGATGCACAGCTGCCTCATCGCTGGCACCTACGGTGTCGTCCTGGAGCGCCTGGAACCTGGATAGAATAGCATCCAGCGACCTCCAGGCTCGCATCTGGGCCCCACTGCCAGACAACGCCGCCTTTTCCACCGACACGGAGAGAGGCACCTGCCGACGCTCGAACCCGTCAGCTCTGCCGACGAAGCCTCTCTGCCCAGCACCGACGATGTCGAACTGGTTGCACAGCTCCAGCTCCATGTTGCTCAGCCACTGGCACCACGCATCCTCCAGCCGAACACCTGCGAGCACCCCTGCGGGCCAGGACCAGCAGTGCTCGGCAGGCTTCCGCACAGGCCCCGTCCGCTGGGAAGTGGGGAAGGGCTTCCATGTCCTGCGAACATGAAGCGGTATGTTCAGAGTTGGGCCCTTGAGCTGCATGGCAACAGCGACGTGAGGCGACGAAGGGGTACCGTATACTGTGCGAACATCGCTAACAAAGTTGGCCAACCCCTGACTTACGATGTAGTAGTCGATCGTGGACCCTGACTTGGACGCAAAGCAAGTCGGACCGCTTGGGGCCACGATCGTGCCTTTGAGGAGCTCTACCCACTTGCACAGCTTGATATCCTCTGGCGGCAAGTTGAAGTCCCCTGCGAGAATCCACGGTGACCTGGACCGACGCAGAAACACTCCCAAGTCCTCCAGCATATCCCATGTGAACACCTTGTCGGACGCGTCCACGAAACCGTAGACCGAGCCCAGCAGCAGGCCGTGGGGGAAGGCCATGTTGGCCCGAATCAGCTTCAGCCTCGAGAAATACCCAGACTGAACGCCGAGATGCTTGAGGCTCAAGCCTGCGAAAGCAATGTGTGACGCGACTGCCGTCAGAACTCCCCCTGACGACTCCGTGGCAAGCTGTCCCGTGGACTTCGCCCTGCCGAACGCCCCGTGATAGCCGCGAACTCGGAGCCAGCCTGCCGCACTATGAACTTCTGGTGAGATCTTTCAACCGATGTTCCTGTCCAAAACACACATGGGGCCGAGCGCTGGCCCCCCAACTCCTCTGCCAGTCCAAGCAGCCCTGGAAAGAGCTCCAGGCGCTCGAGTTGACAGTCCACAGCCTCCACAGCTGCTGCACACGCTGTGGCCTTGCCGCCTTGCTAAAGCCCCTGCCTGCGGCGCTTGACCCCGAGGGCCTCCTGGGCTTGCAGCAGCTGCCGCTTGGCGTCTGCCTGGGCTTCAGCACCTTCAGCAGCTCGTAGGGCCTCTGCCGCGGCTCGGAACGCCTCCGCTCGAGCCTCGAAGTCGTCCCCGTTGAGCTGCTCCATGTCGATGTCGTCATCCCCCGCGGCCACATCGCCCCCAGGAGGCTCAGCAGCAGCAGGAGGATGGCCGGGCCCCCCTTGCGAGGGCCGCCCGATCTTCGCGAGGATGATCGGCTTGAGAATCTCCCACTTATCCGACCCGAGGAAGGCCTGAACATCAGGATCCTGTGTCTCCTCCGGCTTGATCTCCAGCTTGAACGTGACCGACGGCTTCGGCTCCCCGTCCGACTGCGCAATGAGAGCAGCCGTCCGCTTGTACTCCGCGTCGAGCTTGTCGATCTCGAGCTTCTTCGCCTCCAACTGCAGCCTGCGCTCGTCAATCGTCTCTTGCAGCTTCTGCATCTGCGAGGTCTTCTCCACGATCTCGGCCTCCATCTTTGCACGGGCCTAGCGGGCCTTATGCAAGTCCTGGGCCGTCCTGCGATGCGCAATCGCAGGTGTGCGCAGCGCCTTCTGCTGTTCCCTGATGCTCTTAATCTTCTCGATCGTCGCAGCACGGATGGGGTCTTCGTCGGGCCCAGGAAGACTCTTGAGCACCGTCTCGTACTGCCCCAGCAGCGCAGTGAGCTTCTCACGCTTGACCTTCTCATCATCAGATTCGAGCAGCGGGCCCATGTCCGACGACGGCTTGGAACCCTGGGCCCACGGAGCAACTGTCGGGCTGGCAGCAGGCGGCGGCTCCCCCTTGCTGCAGAACGACCTGATGAGCTTCTCCATCTCCGCGAGCCTCTTGCTGGTGTCATCCTTGTCTTTGCTCTTCGTAGGAGGCGCCCCCGACTGACCAGAAGGCGAGGCAGCGGTCGCCGCCTTGTGGGCCTTCCAGGCCTCGTTCCTGATCCGAAGCGGCGCCTCATTCCCACATTGACAGCGAATGCGAGATGCCCAGTTCGCCGCGGTTGAGCACCTCCCGCACGCCCAAAAGGGCCGCCGCGGCCCACGGAACACCGTGGGCGTGGGCGGCGGCTCGGGCGCCATCGCTGCACCTTCCTCGTTGTGAACTCTGCGCTCCCTTGGAGCGACGCACGGTTAGCCAAGTTGGCTCGCTGCAGCGGCGCCGTTCTGAAGACAGCTGCAGCAAGCCCAAACACCTGGGCCAGAACGGCTGGAGGAGGAACAAGGAGGAGGAGGAGGAGGAGGAAGAGGAGGAGGAGGAGGAGGAGGAGGAGGACGAGGAGGAGGAGGGAGGAGGAGGGAGGAGGCGCTAGGGCCACCTGGCGACGCCTCAAGCACGCGCTCCGCGCGCCAGGGAGGGGTTCCCAGCGCCGAGCCAAGAACTACGCGCGGAGCTCCGGACGTTTTTCAGAGTGAGGGGGCCGAACGGTCGTCCACTTGTCCCCGGGTGCGTGGCTGAAGTAGGGTTCCGCGGTGCGGATTGTTGTTTCGTTGCGTGGTTGCGTTGTGGTTGTCGCCGTCCCACCCGCGACCCGCCCCGCGACCCACCCGCGACGCACCCCGCGACCCACCCACGACGCACCCGCGCCTGCCCCTTCGCTCTTGCCCGCAGAGGCGGGGCGCTACGCACCCAGGCCCCCGACACCATTGGCGTTCTCACGACGTCGACCCCCAGAGGTCTCGGCCCCTCCCCGGGGGCCGGCCGGCTCTCCGTCCTGAGTCGTCTCTGACGGCCCCGAGGCCCGGTGGGGGCTCCCATGGCTGAACGTCGCGGAAGTCGGGGGCGGCAAAGAGGGGGGGGAGGACTAGGGGGGGGGGGGGATATCATGGCGGGGGCCATGGTATTTCCCCAGATTTCATGGCGCCTCTTCTTATTTCATTACGTCCCTGCCCCCCCCGCTGGGCCGCGCACATGCCTCCGGCCATGATTTGCACCCCCCCTCTTGGACACCCCCCTCTTGCCCGCTCCCAGGTTCCATGGGGCCTGGGTACACCCATCAGAAATCGTAAGGAACAGCCTAGAGTCAGGCGGTCGCAAACATGGATCCAGGGGACGTGGATGAGCGACGGGTCCCCCTTCCACGGGAAATCGCGGATTTCCGCCGCCGAGCGAGGCGGCACCGGCCGCATTTTGGGGATGGCACCTCCCCCGATCCATGGATTTGGCGACCGCGCGCCAATCCATGGATTGCTGATCCATGTTTGCGCGCCCCCGTTGAACTTCCATCGACTCCTGATCTCGCTCTGAGATGATCAAGAAGCTGGGCTGGACCCTCGGCGCTCTCTCGGAGCTTCTGCGCTTCGTAGCAAGCTCGTGCATCTGGACCTGGATTGTTGTTTAAGAAGACTTTTCGAGTGAGGTACAGTGTCTTGGCCTAAAAAGTTGTCTTAACTCTAAGCACTGGCGTAGGTGTATGCCGCTCTGCCTTTGCCTCTGTACAGTCAACCCGCACAATAAGGATGGGCAACCTTCCCAAGGGTCCCCCTGCATCCTCGCCTCCCATCCGCCCATCCTTGGCGACTTTCGTCGGCCACGCCCCGCCCGGAAAGTGTCGAAGTGGGCGTCCAAGGCCCTTTGCATCCTTACAGTCGGGGCGCTGAAGAAGGAACCCTTTTCGTTTGGGAGGGGCTCAGTGCTCCTTGGTTGTTTTGCAGCTCGCCTCAGGTTTTCCTTCGGCCTTCGATCGCAATTCGAGGCTGAACTTGTGGAAAAGAGGGGCCTCGTTCCTCATTTCGGGTTCTCCTTAGGTCAACGCCCCGACTGTATCGCGCATCCTTGCTGCACGGGTCGAGTGTAGCGCCGAGGGGCTCGGCCGCATCGACACGCCGCTGAGGGCGTCGCCGGGCGCGGCCACCGAGGCGCGGGCCGACGGTCTGCCCGCCCTCACGCTGGCGGCGCCCTGCGCCTGGCTGCGGGGCGCGGCCCAGGCGGGGGGCCCCGTCGATCCGGCCCCCGAGCCATGACAGAAACCACGACGCGGGAGGCTTTGTTCGCCAGCTGCGACGCCCCTCGAGTCAGGAGCAGAGCACGACGCGGGAGGCTTTCGTCGCCCACGTCGGCCCCATGGGGGCCCTCACCGGGCCTGGGGGCCGTGCAGGAACGGCTCGGGACGAGCAGCCGGTCCCGGGGAACGTGTGGGTTCGGCGACTACAATCGGTGCGGTTACGCCGGGGTGCGGTTTGCGAGTTGCTTCGTGGCGGCCTTTCCGGGCCTTTGTGAGGGAGAATGTCGTAATCATAATTGTCGTCGTTTCGAGCGACACTGTCATCCTCGATGCTTGCCCCGCTGTACTAGAAGGAGCGACAGTGTCATGTGTGTTCGGTCGCATTGAGTGACAGTGTCATCCGTTTCCCGGGGGCGGGAGGGGCAGATATGACGCGAGGTAAACCGCACCCTTCGTAAACCGCACCCATTGCAGTCGCCGATCCTGGGTGGAGACCTCTGGGGGTCGGTGTCGGGAAGGAAGCAGGACGTCGGGCGGTGCGGGCTCGGCCCGCGTCGATGTCGGTCTGGGCCGGCCTGGCGCGAGGCGATGCCGACGCCCCGACTCGATTGCAGGCAAGATGGAGTCGGGCGTGCCCCTCTGCAGGAGGAATATCCAAAGATGGTCGAACAAAGGTCGGGAGACGACGTTTCGATATTTTTTGTTTGGCCATCGTTGCGCATTCTGGGGATAGTTTCCAGTTGTCGCCCCAAACCCGCCTGTAGGGGGACATGCCCGACCTAAACGCAAGATCGGGACGATCGGAATGGGTAATTGTGGAAAGAAGGGGAACAACGACCGACGGCAGTTCTTGGTTATTTTGAGCAGGACTCGATGTCGGTGTCGCCGCGGACCGCGTCCATGTGGAATAGAAGGCCGCATGCCCAACAGCGGCCGCTGCCGGTTTGGGATAACATGTGTCGTTGGGCATCGTACCGATTTCTTCCGTACAAATTTCGGGCGTCCGAATGAGAGAGTGACCCTTCGCTGGAGTGGCCTGTGGTGCGGGCCCGCTGGAGGACAAGGAGGAGGATGAGGAGGAGGAGTAGGAGGCGGAGGCGGAGGAGGAGGAGGAGGAGGAGGAGGAGGAGGAGGAGGAGGAGGAGGAGGAGCCCCCCGATCGCCGAGCGCGATGCGATGCGATAGCAGCGCCCTGCGCGCGTTGCGCTTAGTCGCCCCCGCGGCCCCCAGGGAGCCGCGCACCACAGGGCGCTCCTGCCCAGTGCCGCTCTCTGCGTGGCGCCGACCGACGCTCCGACGCGGCCCGGTGCCTGCACGGCGCTGTCCGTGCACCCCGGCGCAGCCGATCCGATTCGGTTCCCAGACCCCCGCGGGCAAGGAACAAATCATAACGGGAGATGTTATATTTTTGGCTTCTGGAATCCCTTACCGGGCCGCTGTTTCCCCAGTTGCATTGCCGCGGCTGGCCGCGCCGGCGCGCTCGGGGTGGAACTCTTCCGCAGCCGAGCGCCCTCTGCTCCCCGCCCCTCGTCTGCGGTCGCTCTGCCTGTCTTGCTCCCGAATCCCCAGACCCCCTCGGGCATTGAAGAATTCACGACGGGAGGTTTTTTTTTTAACTAAAAAAATGTTTGGCCTCTGGGGGCCCTTACCGGGCCTCGGGACCGTCAGAAAAAACGCCTCAGGATGAGAAACGGGTCCTGGGGAACGGGTCGAGACCTCCAGGGGTCGGCGTAGTAAAAAAATCATGGACGTCGGGGGTCTGGGTTCTGACCCTCAGATCCGACGTAGCGAAAAAGTTACAACATCGTAGAAAATCACGCCTGGAGCCCCGGACCCCATCTTCCTGCCTGACTTTTCGAGCCGGACCGATCCGTGAGGGTCCCGGGGCACGAAAATAATTCGGGCGAGAACGACCGGCTCGAAAAAATCGAGACGCCAGGATCTGAGGGGACTTCGTGCCGAGGCAGCCCGATCCCGTACGCATGTCGATTTGGTCCGAGTTGCTGACGCGATGCCGGCTGGTCCTGGCCAGGGCTTCGAGGGGGAGCCCTACAGCCTGGTGGTCATCTCCATAGCCTCGGGGCGGAAGCACCAGGCCCCGGGCCTCCCGACTCACCTCCTCCCTGAAGCGCCTCCCACTCCTCCTCCTCCTCCTCCTCCTCCTCCTCCTCCTCCTCCTCCTCCTCCTCATCATCCCCATCGAGCCATGGAAGAATCACGACGGGAGGTTTTGCGACTCGGGGCGAAACACTGGTGGGCATAGGGCGGAAGCACCGTGCATTGCCCCAGGGCGGAAGCACCAATTTTTTCGTCAGCGAATCGTGGGAGCCTTGTCGTGTTTAGAGTGTCTCATCATCGATTAGGGTGTGGTAATCGATGATATCGCGCCGATGTAGCGTCGATTAGCGTCGACTGCCGTTGATTATCGTAGATTTAGCGTCGATTTAGCTTGATCTAGCGTCAAAACAATATGGTGTAAACTCCAACTTTCGGCGCTCAGCGCGGATTTCTTGGATCGGCGTTGGGCCAACCCTGGCGGCGCCTCCGGCGCCGCCCTTGGCGCGCTCTGCGCGCCAGGGAGGGGGGCCCAACGCAGATCCGAAAAATCAGCGCGGACCTCCAACAGTTTATGTTCATGCCGCTTTTGGTTCCTCCACCAAGGCCTCCCACAAGAGGTCCGAGAAGATGGGGTGAGAGGATCGCGCCGCATCGACGGTGCATCGGCGACGCGGCTCGGTGTGGAGCCCGATGTTCTCCGCGCCGACGTCGGCGATGCATCGGCGACGGTGCCCGCAGCCTCGTTCCCTTCCGGGAGGCCCACCGTGCCACCGGGCCCCGAGGGAAACGGGCCCAGAGGTCTTTCTGAGGTTTCGAGCTCTCGGGGCCCTCAGTTGTCTACATAGTGATATTCGGGATGGCTTTGTCGACTTTGACATCAAATCATATGTTGATCGAAGCCATGAAAAAGACCCAGACATGCGACGTCCTGACTTTCTCTTTTTTTAGGACGGCGTCCCTGGAAGTCCCGACCCTTTCCCCGGGACCGGTTTTGCGTCCTGAGTCGGTTTTGTTTACGGTCCCGAGGCCCGGCGAGGGACCCCGAGGCCGAAAATTGCCAAAATCCTATCGTCGTGATTTTTTGTTCAACGCGATCATGTCTGGGGGCAGAAACGACTCCGGATGACGAGCCGTCCCCAGGACCAGCTCTTCGTCGAGGAGTCGTTTTCGGACTGTTTCGGGGGCCTGGGAAGCCCCCCCTCCCTGGAGCCTGAAAACGGCGAAAGGCTTCAGGACCTTTCTCCTCCTCCTCCTCCTCCTCCTCTCCTCCTCCTCCTCCTTCTCCTCCTCCTCCTCCTCCTCCTCCTCCTCCTCCTCCTCCTCCTCCTCCTCCTCCCCCTCCTCCTCCTCCTCCTCCTTCTCCTCCTCCTCCTCCTCCACGTCCTCCGGAGGCCACCGCGTCTGGCACGTAGGCCAGTTCGTCTTCTGTGCCAGCTGCGGGGCGCACTCGAGCGAGAATGCGCAGATGCTGGCGCAACCCTGCCACAGTGGAATGCACCCCAAGACACGGCTGCGCTTGGACCGTCTCTGGGAGGGCCGCCACCCTCGCACTGAGCGGCCGCTGCTGCCGACCGACCAGGGTCAGCTGAGGCCACGCCCATTCGGCGAGTTCGTCATCGATGCCACCCTCGGGGGCTTGGTCGTCGAGGATGACGATCGCGCCGAGTAGGGGTGGCCTCCTGACCCGACCTCGTGCGGCACCTATTCCTTTCGTGTCGGGCTTACGCCTGAGTCTGCTTGCGTAGCCAGTGCACGCATGCGGCCCCGTCTGGATAAACTCCTCCTCCTCCTCCTCCTCCTCCTCCTTCTCCTCCTCCTCGTCCTCCTCCTCCCTGTCCTCCTCCTCCTCCTCCTTCTTCTCCTCCTCCTCCTCCTCCTCCTTCTCCTCCTCCTCCTCCTCCTCCTCCTCCTCCTCCTCCTCCTCCTCCTCCTCCTCCGTTTCCTCCCTCCTCCTCTTCTTCTCCTCCTCTTCCTCCTCCTCCTCCTCCTCCTCCTCCTCCTCCTCCTCCTCCTCCCCTCCCCTTCTCCTTTTCCTCCTCTTCCTCCTCCTCTCCTTCTCCTCCTCCTCCTCCTCCCCCTCCTTTTCCTCCTTCTCCTCCTCCTCGTCCTCCTTCTCCTCCTCCTCCTCCTCGTCCTCCTCCCCCTCCTCCTCCTTCTTCTCCTCCTCATCATCATCATCAGCATCATCCTCATTCTCATCCTCCTCATCCTCATCGTCCTCCTCATGCCAGCAGGTGCGGTGCCACCTCGCGTCCCTGGGGCACCCCGTGGTGTGCGACGCGCGGTACGCGCCCGGCAGCTTCCCCCGCGACCGCAGCTGGTGCCCCAGGAACTTCCTGCACAGGTGCTCGCGGAGGGCAAGCCTCATGGCGCCAACATCGCAGAGCGGATTTCGCTCGGATAACGATGGGGTGAGCCCGGAGTGTCCTGGAGAATTTCGTTCCCGATTTCGAGGTGAGTTTCGTGTGGATTTTTGCTGGGCCAGGAGTGAAGACCAAAAAGAATCCACGCGAACCTCGGGCCGCGCACAGGCAAGGCAGGGGCCCCCCTCAGACCCCCGACTTCATGATTTTTTACGGCGTGGGATTACTTGGGGGCCCAGACCCCTCGAGTCATGAAAAAACACCGACGGGAAGTTTTTCGCAAATTTCGGCCTCATCGGGGGGCCCTTACCGGGCCTGGGGATGTTGAAAAAACGACTCGGGACGAAAAATTGGTCCCCGGGAATGGGTCGAGACCTCTGCAGAAGAAGGAGAAGAAGAAAAAGAAGAAGAAGAAGAAGGAGAAGGAACGCCGTAAACAGAAACTGTTGGCGCTCCGCGCGGATTTCTTGGGCCCTCGTTGGGCCCCTCTGGCGGCGCCTCTGGCGCCGCCCCTGGCGCGCTCCGCGCGCCAAGGAAGGGGGTCCCGAGGGGGAAGTGAGAGGGGGGCAGGCCTTCTCAGAAGACGGCGGTGCTTCCCTGAAGCCCTCGCGCCCTCTGAGAAGCTCCCTGCGCTTCCGGAGAAAGCTCAGAAGAGTCCTCGGCAGGCGCGAGGGCTTCCGAGAAGCCCCGCCGCCTTCCGAGAAGGCCCGCTCCCTCTCGCCGCTCCCCTGGGCTCGCAGCCGGTCCACGGGCCTCCGTCCCCGCCTCGCCACCCACCTGTTACACCGCCTCCCCGGACGTCGGGCGCCTCGATCTTGTTCGAGACACGGGCCCCCGCGGACCTCTCGACCTCTCGACCACTTTCCCGGGACGGGCGTTCCATCCTCCCGAGTTGCTGGGTGACGGCCCCGAGGCCCTGTAGAAGGGCACCGAGGGGCCGAACCCGATGAACCATCGTCCTTCCCGATTTGTTCCGGGACGCCGGATGCCTGGCCCCCTGCCAACGTCGGCCACGCGCAGAGGGGGGGGGGGGGGCAGGGGGAGGGGGGGAGGCCCCTCGGAAGCACGCCTGCTTGTGAGAGGGCGCGGGCCTTTGTCCGTAGACGCAAGGCTGGCGCCTTCTAAGCAGCCTCCTTCTGAGAAGCCTCCCCCCCTCTCCCCATGACCCCCCTGCGCGCGCCGCCAGCAAGGCTTCTGCTTTCCCCCCGCTTCGCGCCGTCCGCCGCCCTCTCGGTTCCTTGCGTCAGGGCGGCTCTTGGGCTCAGGGCTGGCCCCCCCCCCTTCGTCGGGGAGCGTGGCGGTGGCTGTCAGTGCACCCTTCCGTGCTGCATCTTCGGGAGCCCTCGCCCGTCCCCCCAAGTGGTGCCTGTTCTCGTGCCCGACGCGGCGGGGCTCCTTGCGGGCTCGGCGCGGATCTGGCGCGGCCTCGACGCGGAGTCGACACGGGGTCGCCACGGATCCGACGAGGCCGACATGGATTCGACTCGAACTCGAGGCGAATGGGGCCCCGAAATGGGACAGCCAAGGTCCCCCGAGGATGCAGCAGAAGTGCCTCCCATGGCTCAGGGAGGGGAAGAGGCACGCAGTCACAATCGATCGTCGGCCCCGGGAAGGCATGGGAAAATATGGGAAGGGGGGGGGAGACGAAGACGCAGAGAACAGGGAAGAGGAGGGGAAGGCCTGGGATCTGTGCCTACTCGTTTGTGTGTCCCAGGGCCCCTCCCCTGGCCCTCGGGGAGGGAGCCCTCGGCACGGCGGCGCGCAGGCTCCTGCAGGGCCGAGCCCGACCGACCGACCGGCCCCTGCGAGGTACAGTCAAGTCGGGCATGCCCCTGGACAGGAGGAAGATTCAAAAGTAGTCCAAGAAAGAGGAATATTCCAAAATAGTCCAGGAAAAAGTCTGGGGGCGATTTTTCGACTGTGTCTGATCATGCTTGCGCATGTGTTCTGCTATTTTTCACTTATCCTCGAAGCTCCGCCTGCAGGAGGACATGCCCGACCCGAAGGTACAGGCTGGGGGGCTCCCCCGCGCGGGCCGCGGCGGTGGGTGACCCAAAGGGGGGGGGTCAAAGAAAAGCGCCCCACAATGGGCCCCTCGAGGGCTTCTTCTGGGGCCAGCAGGGGCCCAAGAGGGGCCCTCCAGGGCCCCTTCGGGGCTCCTTTCTTCACCCCCCCTCTGGGCCACCCTCCCAGTACCACCCGCCCGACTCCCCTCCCTCCCCAGACCCCCGACGTCGGGCTCTTTTTTCACGTCATAGACCCCCCAGAGGTCTGGACAACCCTTGCCCAGGACCCGCTGTCCATCCTGAGTCGTTCTTTGGCGGCCAGTGCTGGCTCCCGGAGGCCGAAACTGGCGAAAAATGATTGGTTCCGCCTGAATCCCTTCACGACGCGAGGGTGTCTGGGCTCTCCACCTCCTCCTCCTCCTCCTCCTCCTCCTCCTCCTCCTCCTCCTCCTCCTCCTCCTTCTCCTTCTCCTCCTCCTTCTCCACCTCCTCCTCCACCTCCTCCTCCTCCTCCTCCTCCTTCTCCTCCTCCTCCTCCTCCTCCCCGCCCCCTGCCAGGTACCGGCTGGGGCTCCCCCGCGCGGGCCGCGACGGCGGCCGCGCCGAGGCCGCGGCTCGGCTGCCCGACGACCTCCGCGGCGCCTTGCGCGCACTGCGTGCGGCGGCGGCCGAGGCCTGCCCGCCGCACGGGGGAGCACGGCCCCACAGCCAGGGGCGGCATTCGGAGGGGGAGGGGGAGGGGGAGGAGGGAGGGGGAGGAGTGGGAGGACGGGGATGAGGAGGAGGAGGAGGAGGAGGAG